AAGGCAAGTCTATATTCTTTCTCAAACACAGTTTTCTGGTGAGATTGTTTTCGTCGGGTCGGGTGCGGGTCGGCATTTTGGCAGTCTGGTCGGGTTCGGGTTAGGTTTTCTTAACCCGTACAGGTCTCTACACACCGGGTTGTCTACATAGAAAAATTTTCAGAACTGTCGAACAAGTTTTAATAGAGTTATTAAAAGCTTTACTATGTTCAGATGCTTACTGCAATTGAAAGTAAAGCTTTGCTAATTCCATTAAAACTTGCTCGACAGTTCTGAAATATTTTCTGTATAGATAACCCGGTGTGCTCTACAAACCGAGCTGATCAAAATCTGATTAACTGAAAGTTTTTAATGGATTCTCAAAAACCTGACATACAAAGGATCATCCCACAAGAGCCTAAGGGCAGATATCAGATTTGTAGTCAACCACAACAATTACCCAAAATCAAGTATGTTTCAAGGAGGGGAACTCCTGCGAGAGTGGAAAATTCATTAACACCTGAGTGGCAATAGAATGTATTTTCTGTTCTTTATGGTTCGCATTAGATCTTAAAAGTAAATCAGTTGATACTATAGCCATGATTTCTACTGACTAATCATAAATCCCAAGATTGTTTTGCTTGACTGGTTTAGTTTTTGGATATTTCCTTCGCGTCAACTGTTTACCTTTAAATCATTTTTGGTGAGAATAACACCTGCTCTTTCTTTTCTGTTTTGTCTCGCAGTATATGTACGGCATTTTTCCATTTCATTGCCTTTAAATATTTAATCGAATACAAGTTGTCCATTATCACAGTGTAATTTACTTTATAGTTAACCTACAGCATTTCAATTTTGTTTATCTCGCTGAATAAATGCTTGTAATACCTTTAACATTGACTATTACAATATATACCTTGCATTTTAATTCAGTTCTGGGTTAACTATCTCATCGAAAATTAATTCATAGTTTATCTTTATCTTTTCAATTTTCCTCCTTCACTTTTCTTAGTTTAAAAGAATAATCAATGGCTTCGATGGATATCTCTTACCCTGTCTCACAGCATCAATCATTTAAATTAAAAAATTTAAATCCAACAAGTGATATCTATTATAAGACCTACGGTAAATTGATCGAGCACATGAAACTGAATTTAATAACAAAAGAAGAAACGTCGACTGGCATTGAAATACACCAGGACCAAATAACAAAACGAATCGTCAAACGGAAACAGGAGTACGAAGATGACACAAAAAACAGCCGAAAATTGCCAGCAACTGGAATTCCAGCGCTTCGTATATTCCGAGAGTTACCCACTATGAATCAAACTCGAAAACGAACTTATTCTCACTGGCGATTGAAGTTGCCCACTCGATCGCAAATGATCGAGAGCGGCTTTTTCAGTTGCAACGTTGGAGATCGAGTTATTTGCATTTATTGTAATGTGATCTGCCAGCAATGGATAGCCACCGATGATCCAAGTGAGATACATAAGTTGCTCTCTCCCGATTGCAGCTTTGTCAAGTCAAATCTGGTCTCGCCAATTTCATCGACACGTGCCGTTCTTAATGAGACATCTAATGTGGCTGCAAACGTAGAGATTGTTCTCACTCAGGCGTGTAATCAGCAGTTTGTTGGAATACCACAACGACAGGCATCGTACGCAACGTGGCCACAAGATATTCCATTACCATCTGTCGATGATATTGTTCGAGCTGGATTCTTTTATTCGGGCAAGAAAACGATTGTTACTTGTTTCTATTGCAATGGATCGCTTCAGAACTGGGCAGAAAAAGATAATCCAATGATTGAACATGCTCGATGGTTTCCACAGTGTCCCTATGCAAGACAGTTGTGTGGAAATGATTTGTATCAGAAAATTCAGCAATCAGAACGAATTGCTCAACAAGGTACGTTAGCATCTCCGTCAGTTTTCTTCTATATTGCACTCGTGTTTATTCATGTTGTTTAGCAAATTCTAAGCAACAAAAAATACCGACCAAAGTCACATTCTTCCTACCAAATGTAGACGCAACTGTCCCAAACAATTCCTCGTCGGATCTGTTATCGATACCAGATGAGAGCACATTATCAAGGTTTGTGGCTGCGAGACTCGATTTACCGGTATCTCAACGAATGTTAGACAAATTCAGATTATCCATAATTAAACGGTGTTACGAAGATCAATTGAGATTAAAACGTAAGTTAAATGTACATCCTCTTCTTATATAAATTTATCTGTTATTTAGTTGAGGATTTTGTGAGCGATAGCGATCTGTATATGGCATGCTTGATTCTCCAAAAACAAATTGAAGTTATCGATGGTAAAAAAGAAAATATTATCATTCCATCAAAGCACTTACAAGAAGTAACGGAGAACAATAAACGCGGTAAGTCCTCGATCAGTCTTGTTGTCCTTCCTAAAATCTAAATATTTTACAAAGAAGTGATAATAGATCAAACACATTTAACGATGGAACAAGATGAGAGTGAAGAAATGGTCACATCGACAGTGGCTGACAATGGTTCCAAAAATGGTAGGCAGAAATATTTTTAAAAAAACAAAGAGAAAAATGACCTCATTTATCTTTAGAAGAAAATAAACCAATGTCAAAGTTGTCCAATACTTGTTTGTCGTGTTTAAAGGAGGAAAAGCGTCTTGCTTGCATTCCATGCGGCCATTTGGTAACGTGTGTGCCGTGCGGTCAGTTACTACGCATCTGTCCAGTATGTCGACGAGAAATAGAAGCTTTTGTTCGTGTTTATATTTAACAACATGTCATCAAGGGTGATTTCTCAGTCATAGACGAAAAGTTCTTTCGATAACAACGTCCGAAGGGATAACATAATCACGAACTAAATGAATGAGAGCTGTTTCTTACGTAAATTTTGCACATGTGAGTTCAGTTTACTCACAGGCTTTACGTAAGCTTTTTTCCAAGTCAAAGATATCATTTATAGTTTTACTTTTGTCAAAGTATCGAAAAGAATTAATTAGACTACGAACCAATAATTAGTGTACAAATAATTTCATGATATATGACAAGGGCTGAAAATGTGTAACCTTGTAATAATGTATTAGAAGCCGAGTTGCAACCGGTCTAAAAATAAGAGGCCGGACCGGGCCGGCCGGTCCAAAAATGGTTTAGACGTGTGAAAAAACGGTAGCAGAACGACCGGTTTTCAAATATTAATTCCAGACGGATAAGAGCGTAGAAAAATTCATTTTTTTTTAGTGAAGAAAAATGCTAAGAATTTCAAAATCGGCAAAAAACCGGTCAATCACCGGCTGGTTTGAAAATCTTTCTAGATCATCGGAGACCGGCTGGTCTAAAGTTTTACACTGGCCCGGTTACAACTCTGGTTAGAACAATGTTATGCTCACAATGCTACAAGTGAATATTAAAAATAATTCTTATAAATTAAATGTACATTGAGACTCTACAACAAATGTACACACATTTTCTCAAGTGACCGATCATTTTGATTTCAAACCTCTTGGAGTAGGAAAACGGTGCTCAGGAAACAAGACATGCTTCATTAAGGCGATGTTTTTACTCAGAACAATTTCAATTCTTTCTAACGGGAATCGTGTTCGAGTGATGTCCAGCCTATATTCTCTGCATAGCTGAATTCGTGAAGTTTTGATATGAGATTTTTGACGCTTGAGGTACCAGTCAGACCACTCATAATACTTGTCAAAAGCACCTATAATTTGATCAATCAAATGCAAATATGAAAACACTGTGATATTTACCTCATTGACCTCGCTTAATAATTTCTAATGAACTACTAAAGGATATATCTTTGACAGTAATCAGAAAAACAGAAATGTTAAAGCTGCTAGAAGAACATGAGAAAGGTAATTCATTGGTTTGAGATTTACATATGATAAGGTATTCGAAAAACAGCTAAAAATACAGTGATGTCAATGTTTTATACTTAATTTGGATTTTGGACTATAAAGCATAACTGTAAATTAACAAGCAGTGATCGTATATAATTTGTGGGTAGTTCCCTAGTTTACGAATACTATATCGTAAAATTCTAAAAGCTGACGAGTCATTACCAATATCTGATAGGATTCGTTCAAGTAGGGCGCGCGTAATGCAAACTGACAGAAAAATTGTTTTTGACTATATTATATACCATTCGATAGAGTTTTTCGAGGTGATCAAGAATATGTAGCTTTTACTATTTTGAAACGGTTTTCTTATATCGAAAAATAGAGAAAACTCGAAAAAACGATGATGTTCAAAAAAGTTAGATTTTTTGACTTGGGTTTTTGACCCGCACGTTCAACTTATCTTTTTCTTATTTGGCATTGAAAACTAAATTAAAAAATAGTATTAGATTCATGTCGGAGGTAAACGCCTGTTAAACATGGACGTCCGAAATATCTGTCACGCTTTCTTTTAAATTTTGTTTCGTCTCTGAGAAAATTCACTTTTTCTAAATTAGAGGTGCATAAGTCGGAACTCTGTCCGTCTCTCAGTTTTCTGGATCAGAACTGAAATTTTATGGATTACAAATATCATATTCTGGATCAGGATCAAAAATAAATCGACTAATCCTATCCGAGTACTTCAAAGTATGTGAAGTATGTGAAGTATTTAAAGCAACTAAAGCATGTACAACAACACAGGTGCGCGTGAGGAAAGGAAGAGAAGTAATTCTATACAAAGTATATATAGTATACTTTAAGTATAGTATTCCATCGTATGAATAGACCGTACTCAAGATCTTTGTATTAGGCTGATTGATTCCATGCCTGAAAGAATTCAGAATTGCATAAAAGCCAAAGGAGAACACTTTTCATAGTAGAATTTGTTGTTTTCTTCTATTTATAACTGAAATAAAATGAAAAGACTACGGATGGTCTTAAACTTTAGTCTGCTGGAGAAAAAATGTTTTCTTCCCTGTAAGCTCACATTTTGTTCCAATAATACTTAAATATACACCGGCGTCGGCTAACCGACACCGAAAAAGAGCGAGTATTGTCACATTCAAGAAATTTTCGTAGATGATACTATTTTACTTTGAAGATGGTTTCAAGAGAAAATTAATGGCGTGCGTAACCTACTTGTTCTCTCTCATGCCAATGTATATCAACGCAGATCGTCACTAGTAGTTAATTCAGACTTGATCTTATTGTGAAAGGACGGGGTGCAATAAGAACGAGGATCGGCCCCATTTCAGATCTTCTCGAAAGGTATCTAGAATGAAAGAGCATACAATTTTATGGGGGTCTCGATAGATGTAAGGAAACTTAGCAGCGGATTCGACTATTTCTTGCTGACATTCGCTCTTCAACCTGTGTTGAATTCACTATAGAGAATAAAGAAAAGGAGAAAACAAATATAGTTATTAGGATAATTGACCCTGAAAAAATTTTATCAAGTTTAATAGACTACAGATGATCTACGAATCGGAGAAGTGATTGTATTTAAAACACTTAAATTATTAAATTTTTAAACACAACTTCGTACTGAAGTAGGAACGTGTATGCGCTTGTATTCAAGTCTTGAAACAGACAACAATCGTCGTTTATATAAGGATCCGAAACAATTTGGTTCTATGATGCACGTACATCAGAATAATTAGAAAAACAATAAAAAGCTGGAATTGATCGTTTATTGCCGTATCGTAAATTGTGCTAGAACACTTCGATATAATTCCATGATAATATCCGACGGATGATTACTATTTTTTCCCTTACAAATGCTTTTTCTCTTTGTACGAAAATAACTTTCAATTATAGCATTCGGATGACGAATAGGATTATGTATTATAGATAAATTTGTTTAAAATTCACATCGTGTTCTGTTCTTCCTTTGATTGGAACTTAATTGTTCTTTTTAAAAGAAACATCAAAGGGACGTTGATAATAATATAAACAACAAAAGACAGACTGATCACGATTGTAAATTATTGTCATTCTTTGAAAACATTCGGTATCGATACAAATTACACTCAAAAATGTACATGTAAAGCAATTACGTGTGACTATTTAAAATGTATATATACTTTGACATCGATAAGAATTCTAAACAAAATTTTCGCTCGATCATCATGGTTCTGTTCGTAACTCTCACCATTCTCGCTTTTGCCAACTCGGCTCCAGTAAGTAATATTTATTTGCTATAAATGAAGTAGAAGAAGTATTTGTTTGTTCTAGCAATATTATAATTTAAATGATTTTTTACAACATGAATATTCTTTAACCACCACCAACATCTCTATCACCACCACCAATAAAACTGAGCATATACAACAACTTAAAGCCCATTTAAATAGCGTTCAGGAAATTGTAAAAACGATTGGTCCATATATATGTTATTTCAGTGTTTGGGTTTTATCAATTATCGGTTATTGTTTACAAAAATGTTACCGGAATAATGGGGATTGCAAAATAAGAATCGTACAATATTGCAATATTCCCGTAATTAACGTGTTGCTATTTTTAGCCTGCATGGGTTATGCCTAAGACGCCTGCAGAGTACGGACGTCGTCGAGAAACTGCTAGACGTAAGTAACCAACTTCTTTTTTCAATAACAACTTTTTCCAATAACAATTTTTGTTTTATTTCTAGAAAGAGAAATAGCCCTTGGTCAACTTGTACAACAGTCCTCGGCGTCCATCGTTTATTCACTTACTTGATTTTTTCTTTTTTCGTTTATTATTCTTCTTGTTCGTTCTTTTTCTCTATACAATCTAAATTACATTTCACATGGTTTATTTACATAGAATGTTTAATTACAGCGTCATATAAATCACATAAATCAAATGATCATCAGATTAGATAGAAAGATCATAGCAATCACGGATGTCTGAAAATTTCGGCCACTGTTAACTTCGAAACGTGTCATATCAATAATGATATACAGAGCTAATCAATTTTTCATCTAACACAATCAACTAGAAATTCAACACAGGTTGGAGAGCGAATATCAGCAAGATATACTGGCAGAAAGGGCTTAAAACCCAGTGTTTCAGGCCAAAACTGCTAGTTTTTACTCGATGACCCCCATCAAAAATAGTACCGTTTGATAGAGAATTTAATTCTGCATCTAACACAATCAACTAGACACAGGTTGGAGAGCGAATGTCAGCAAGAAATAGTCGAATCCGCTGCTAAGTTTCCTTACATTCTCGATAGCCGTCTTTTAATGAAAGAACATTTATTAGATAAATGATTGAACCTTTTTTGATCAACAAACAGCCTAATCGGAAAAGACACAAGATATATTCTTGCTGTTTCTCTTATACTCTTGCTATTGTTTATATTCTGTTTTTTATCTACACGAAATAATGATTACTATTTTGAGTGTCCCTCACTTGCTTGCGATTATTACTAGTTATTTTTTTTCTTATTTTAGATAAAAAGTTTAAACTAACATCAAAGCATAAAGCCAGTATCTATTAGACACTGTCTAAGTCTAGCAGAATAAAAAAAAGATTACGTTTTTTCTGGTTTTAGCGGTTTATGTTTTCTTTGACATAGTAAACAGATGTTAGTTGCTAACTCATTATATCACTTTAAAACCTAAAATAAA